TACATTCCAAGAATCCTACCGAATCTGGAAGGACTTTTACAAAATGGGAATAAACATAACTTTTTTTGAGACAGAGTTTCACTATGTAGCCCTGGCTGTCCTGGAACTCATGCTGGCTGTCCTAGAACATGCTCTGTAGACCAGGCTAACCTCAAACTCAGAGACCCACCTGCCTCTGCCTCCCAAGTGCTGGGATTAAAGGCATGTAACAACACTGCCTGAACAAACTTTTTTGTTGGCAAAAATACATTGAGTAAAATTATTAATATGTTTATTAATGAAGATGTGTTTCAGCCTAGTTTTGATCTGAAATTTATGGTCTGAAACTGCAATTCTTTTTTGCACTAACCCAATGTAATGAAATATTAACAAAATCACACGTTATGATCAAATTCATTTCATCTGAGGGATTCAGGATGGTTCAATATACAAGCCAATAAAAGTAACATAGCACATAAATACTACATGTAAGGGAAAAAAACAATAAAACTCAACATGTGTTCATGAAGAACTGGGGATGTAACTCAGTTGAGAGGACACCGAACTGGACTCAATCTCCAGTCCACATAACCTGGGTATGGTGATGTTCACCCTGTAACACCAGCATTTGGGAGGTACAGTCAGGATGATTAAAAGTTCAAGAGCAGTTTGGGCTACATGAATTCCAGACCCTGTTTCTCTAAAGCAAAACAAAAAAACAGAGGGAGGGAGGAAGAAAGGAAGGTGAGGAGGTCACAGGAGAAAACAAATCTGCCCTGAAGAAATCTGAAAAAAAGGACCATACCTCAACATAAATACAGTATATGGCAAGTGTAAAGCCAGTATTAGAGGAAAAGAAGAAAATCTCAAGGTATTTCTTTTAAAAGGGGTGTCAATTCTTTCCACCTTTATTCAATAAAATGCTTGGATTCTTAGCAGTAGAGTAAGATAAAGAGGTACAGAAAGGAAATAGTATCAAATAATCCTATTTGAAAATAACCCTATATTAAAAAAAATCCCAAAGATTCCACCAGAAAACTCAGAAATGACATTTTCAGTAAAGTAGTAGAGTGCAAAATCAACATGCAAAAATTAGTAGCTTTTATACATACTAAGCATTATAAAGTAATTGTTATATACAAATAGTGAATACACTTGAGAAATAAATTAGGAAAATAATCCTATAAACCATAGCCTCAAAACAAAATAACTAGAAATACATCCAATTAAGTAAGTGAAATACCTTTATAATGAAAACTTTGTGTAACACCGAAGAAAGAAAAAAGACAGAAAGACCTTCTATATTACTCGTTCAGCAGAATTAGTATTAGGAAATGGCTCTGTTACCAAAAGTACCCAAAGCTTAAACGCAATGCCCACCAAAATCTGAAAAACATTCTTCAAAGAATTATACAATTCTTATGAATAGCCAAAGCATTCTTCAAGAATGCTAGTCCTCTGGAGTCAGAAGAAGGCAATTTCTGAGTTGCAGGCCAGCCTGATCTACAGAGACATCTACAGGAGATCCAGAGATTATATAAACACCCTTTCTCAAAAATAAAAAAATAAAAAAAAAAAGCTTCTAGTTACCAACACCTGACTTCAAATTTCACTAAAGAGCCACAATAAATAAAAATGAACAATGAACAGAACAAGATACAAAGGAAAAATCAGACATGACTATATTAGTTACCTTATTGTTATGAAGACACTTGACAGAACAATTTAACGACAATTCATTTTGGTTCAAAGTCCATTAAAGCAGAGAAAGTATGGTAGGTGGGCAAGAATCAGAAAGCAAGCTACCCCCCTCTGCCTTTCTCCCTTTTGTTCCATCTGAGCTTCCAGTCTACAAACTGGCATCCCATAAACTTAAGGAGTCTGTCTTTTCCTTAGTTTATCCACTGTGAATTTTCTCACAGAAATACAACTCACCAATCCTCCTGCATGAGTCTCCATAAAGTTCAGTTGACAATGAAAACCACAACCAAGGGAACAGGTTACAGGAAAAAAAATGAAACCAATCAAAAAACCCTCATGAATATTCAGCCATTTGATTCACAACTAGGAGTAACAAAATACATTGGAAATATGACAGCTTCAGTAAATTATGCCCGGAAAACTGGGTGGGTATCCACTTAGAATGAAACTGGGTCTTTTTCTCTTACTTTATAAAAATGAATTCAAAGTGGATCAAAGAACTTAATGCAAGACCTAAAACATTGAAATCAGTAAAAGAAACACTTCAAGATATAGTTACTTTCTGGATGGAAAACACCTAAGGAAATAGTATAAGAACTGACAAGCAGGATTTTATCAAAGTAAAATCTCATGCACAGCAAAAGAAACAACACAGTAGAGAGATGGACTAAGCATGGTAGACAAATCTTTGCCAGCTATTCATCTCACATATGAGGAATACCTGGATTACATCAAAATGAAACATCCAAAGAACAGTACCATCAGTAAGTGGACAAGTGAACTGAGCAGACATTTTTGTCGTTTTTTGAAACAAGGTCTCTCCATGTGGCCATGGCTTTCCTGGAACTTACTATGTAGACCAGCTAGCTTTCCACCTCAGAGATCCATCTGCCTTGGCCTCCCAAGTGCTTGGATTAAATGAATGTGCCACCATACCCAGAAAGCAGACAATTCTTAAGAAGTACAAAAGACCCATAAATATATGAGAGAATAACTCAATAGCCTTAGCTAAGAGGGAAATGCAAAGAAGTTCGTTTACTTCTGGCAGTCAAAATTGGAATTATTAAGAAAAGAAAAAACAACAAACTACAAATGCTGTCAAGGTTGGATGGGAAACAGGAACCCTCATACACTGTTGCTGGGAAGGTAAATTAGTATAGCCACTTCAGAAACATGAGGTTATTAAAAAAACTAACCTAGGATTTGCTATACCACTTCTCAGTTATATTCCTGAAGGAATCAAGTCAAAACACAAGGGAGACTTGCACACTCGTATTTAACAAGACACCCTCCAAGACAGACAAGTTAGGTTCCAATAAATAATGGAGAACTTTTATAAAACAGGACTTAACTTGAGAAGGGACAAACAAAAGGAGGATAAATATATTCAAAGTTTATTATATGCATGCGTGAACATGTCATAATGAAACCCATTATTCTATATATTACAGGTTAATGAAAATAAAAATACATTTTCTTGATTTTGTCCAAACTATTATTTTAAGGAGAAAGTTTTAATTATCTGTTTACTGTAAGATGAATAGTTTAAATTATCAGTGTGTAAGTCAAATACTCTAACAGTTGTAACGTTTCCTTCACAAGATAAAGCAAGTTAAGTAGTAACTAATACTTTCTATATTAAGTCTACTAATAAAAACATGAAAACAAATCAAGAGTAATTTCCCTATAAGTTATACGACTTTTTAAAACTATGAGTTTCCTAAAAGAACTTAGAATATGTACAATTCAACAAGTTTACTTTGTAAAATCTAACAAAGACTTGGATGAACAGTTTGCATGAAGCCAATTCTAGGAAAGTATGTGAGCCTCTAGGACATTATAGGCGTTATGTAAGATTCTGCCTAAAAAAAGTAAAAATTCTACTTCAACCTTCCTTGGCTTCACCTATTTCTTACTCCCTGGCCATTCTGATTTTTTCACACCATACTTTTCTTACACACCAAAGTAATGTCTTTGGTCATGCTATTAAGATGGTGGCATTAACCACAGGCCAAACAAATAGAGTTGTCAGATCTTGGATTTTTCAGACTTCAAAACTGTATGAAATATCTTTCTTCTTGCCTTTGGTGAGTAGGGGGTGGGAGTATATGCACACACCATTGCAAATGCAGATATAGGCCAGAGAAGGACTTTGGAGTCTACTGCTCTCTGTCTTACTCTCGTATCAAAATAGAAGTTTACTGATTTGTTTGGCTAAGCTCGTCAGCCAGCTCTTGGGACTCTCCTGCCTTGGCTCTCAATGCTGGGCTTATAGGCATGTATGCTTCTACAAAGATGATAAAGATTTGAAATTAGGTTCTTATGCTTATAGAGCAAACACTTACTCACAGAGCCATCTCTCCAGTTCCAAACATCTCTTTTTTGCCCCCCAGCCCCAATTCCTGTTCTTTTTTATTAACTCATGCACAACTCCTTGTCTTCTGGTTTGTTGAAAAAGTTAAGTCAGACAACACTTGCCACAGTAATGTCTGTCAAAGTAACTGGCCATGAAATCTCCAGCACCACATTCATCAGGACACTCTTCACAAAGGCAACTAATTTTGCATTTTCATCCACCTAACAGAATTTCAGCACAGCCAACTTAACCTTTCTCTTCTGCTTAGTCTTCTTAGGAATGCTATAAGACTTCTTCCTTTCCTCGGCACCACCAGGAAGTCTCAACACAGAAAGGAAGGTGGACTTTCATGGAATGTTGTACTCAGACAAAGTATGGCATTTTTTAGCTGCTTACCAGCAAAGCCTTTGCTGAGCAGGAAGAATTCCCTCCTTAACCTGGAGCTTGGATTTTACCTTTTCTATAGCATCTGAAAGTTCAACCTCAAGGGTGATGGTCCTCCCCATAAAGGTCTTTATGAAAATCTCCATGTTGGTGCTGTTTCCACCACAAATGGCCAAATGGAAAACCAAAAGCCTGTTTTCTTTACAAAAGTAATTGGCCTTGGTATTTTGAAACAGTCACATAAAATAGAAATAATCTCTCCTAACTCTCATGAAAATTAGATTCTAAAATAGTTTCAACATTTGGCATGGGAAACTTAGGACTGGTTTAACACATAAATCTTTAGAAAACAAGGATCAATGCAGTAGGTTAAAAAAATGAGCCGGGCGTTGGTGGCACATGCCTTTAATCCCAGCACTCGGGAGGCAGAGGCAGGCGGATCTCTGTGAGTTCGAGGCCAGCCTGGACTACAGAGTGAGTTCCAGGAAAGGCGCAAAGCTACACAGAGAAACCCTGTCTCGAAAAACCAAAAAAAAAAAAAAAATGTAAAGAAGCAAGTAATAGTTTAAACAGTACTTACTGCACCAGATGCTGCACCTAAAAGACAAAATATTTATAGTGGTAAGTGAAGTGATCCTTAACAGTTCCAATATTTATTATTATTTCTTCCTTTTTGTTCTTATTAAAGCTTATAAGCTGTCCCATATTATCTGTTGACTTGCTTCCCATTCCACAAACAAAGCATATATCTATAGCACATAGCATTTTCAGAACTTGAGCTTTCAATCTCCAAAGTTAATTGTCAGTTGCCAAAATGAGAAACATTCATCTTGCTTTCTGGCTATTCTGTCAATCTCATTTTATTCCTTTCTTTCTTATATATGCTACAAAAGTACAATAATGCCTCTATTCTCTAACTTTTGCCAAACTCAGTTACTTTAATCCTATGCATGTGCTATTGTGAATCACAGTACTCATGAGACACCATACACACTTGCTTAAAATTAAAATTACAATTAAATAATTTTAAAAAATAGTTCTTCAAATGAACTAGCCCCATTTCACATACCAATTACATGTAGTTAGTAGCAACTGTATGATACTAAGTATAGGTTACAGAACACTTCCACCATTGCAGAAAGTTTTGTTAGTGTCCTACACTACCATATAAATAAGATGTAAGGGATTTCAGGTGTTTGTTAGGGACAAAACTCATACAAATAATGTCGAACTTTAGAAACTAGTCAACTTAAAATGTTAAGTAACAGAGAAAGCAAAGACTGTACAACAAAACAGAACAAAGGTTTACATATATGGAAAGCATTTAATTGACTATGAGTATCAACAACAGACACAAAGCATTGGAAAGGTAAGTTGACTACGAGGACCCAGGAGGTAACAACAAAAATGACTGTCCACAAGTCCATGACAAGAAAAAACTTCACATCTAACAAGAGAAGCTACCATCTCTTCCCATGTTCCCTAAGTAGAAATATGGACTCAGGAGAGTTCATTCATTAAGCAAATATTCTCTGAGCCCTGACTATGTTGACAGGATTGTTAATCACTGAAATTCAGGTCAAATGTTTCAATACAAATCCTAAGTATTTAATAATAATTACAAAATATAAAATTATGAGAACCAAAGGTTTTACATAATAAATTTGAATTAAGAATGCAATTATAAATGCTATCTGTCTATTGTCAGATATTGAGAAAATATTAACCAATCATAAAGATCAGTTTTAAAAACTAATTTTATGTGCATGAGTGGTTTGTCAAAATATATGTATGTACAGCACATGCATGCCTGGTGTCTGAGGAGGCCAGAAGAAGGCATTAGATCCCTTTCAAACTCGAATTTCAAATGGTTGTTAACCATGTGAGAATGAGGAACAGATGCCAGGTCCTCTGAAAAAATAGCAAGTGGTCTTAATTGCTGAACCGTCTCCTCTTCAGCCCCAGATAACCACTTTCATTCCTTGTTAATATGCCTGCAACTTTCCAAATGAAGCCCACTATACACTGTAGACATACCTGCTGCTACATCCATACTATTTACTCCAGGCTGCAAGAAGAGAAATTAAATTACTACCATTCAAATCACTTAAACTACATTTTATAGAAATAAGGTACAATGAATCAGTTCCATGTGTAATCTATTAAGCCACAAACTCAACCAACTGTAAAATTTCTGGTGGTTTCAACTCTGAGGCTTGCTACACATTTCAAGAGATCAATAAAATTGGGGTAACTTTAGCATTTTAACACATTACATGGTTATCAATTGTATGCAGAACCAAACTCTTCCCTCTCAATTCTGAAATCTACAAAGCTCTGAAAACCAAGTCTTATTAATTAATCAACAAAATGAACCAATACTAACATATTAGAAATAGGGCCAAAGACTCCACAGGATATTTTTGTAATGTAGTATATACAAACACTAAAATCTTACTATTCCAAATAGGTATGTCCTACTTGTTCATTAAAACCAGTAGGCTCTCAAGAAATAAACATACTTACACTAATATCATAAAAAAAAAAAAAATCACCAAATTACTACCTAAGTATGACAGTAAGTCTATTCAAGAACTTTCTAAGTTAATTTGCAATAGCTGAAGTTTCAATAAAATGGGGATTTCAAATTAAGTCTTCCCATTTTTAAGTTGAATATCAATTTTTACTAGCATATAATAAATAAAATGTCACCTTTGAAAATATTACAAGACTACTACAATGGTTTTTCTCTCACAACCTGTTTAAATGCCTTGTTCATTATAGAATTAATTTAATCACTGAACATGTATATATATTGCAATGTAATGCTCAATTACAATTCATTTTACATTTTAGTGTTGGGATGGTCTATCAAGTACATGCACATTATTATTTATACATGAAAGCAATCAAAACTCAGAAAATAATTATTTTCACAAGATTACCAACCGGTAAGGCAGGTTGCATGGAAGCCTGAGACATATGAGACATCATCATTCCTGACATTACAGAAGACATCATTCCAGGCATCTAAAATAAAAGTTAAAAAATGGTTACCATGTAAGATCCAAACACTTTATAGGACTGTAAATATAATTTAAGAATATAAACCACTGAAACTATGCTACTTTATTATATAAATAATATGCCTAGTAAGTGCTTGTTGAATGAATGAAGTATTCTATAATGATCCTGTTCCAATACTTACGCCGTAATTCATTTGTGTGGTAAAAAATATTTTAATTAAGTAAATTTAGAAGAATAGACTATATTAGTCTAACTTAAAACTTGAGACTACTCATTTCCTTTTATTTTTAATTGAGCATTGTTTTTTCTTTCTTTGCAACACTACAAGATAAAAATTTATCAGAATTTTCACCTTTTATTCTTAATCTGTATTGAATGAAATTTATAGTAATCCAGTCCTTTTCACAATCTTCGATCTACAGTGCTTAAAATCTAAATATTGACTTAAAATATATAAATAAAACCCTTTAGTCATAAGTTAAGTACAGAAAAGCACGTAAATACCTGAACATATTAATTTGTGAGAATTTAATTTAGTCTACTAATGACCAAATTAAAATCTGAGTATGTATTAAGCATGCGTAAAAACCAGATGATTCATTTTCTAAAGCATTTGATCCAATATTCATCTATATTACATAAAATAAAATATATAGTCCCATATTAGAATTTTAACTTTAATATAGTAAGAGTAGCAAAAGGATCTAAGAAACTTGTAGGGGGAAAAAACTTGTAATAACTATGGGTACTGGACAAGGAAACTGGTTAGTCAAGCTTCAAATTAAACGAACAAGTTAAAAAATAGGAACAGGAAAATATAAGCACATTGGTCAATATGAAAATATAAAATTAGGCAAGAATATCTATGTGTAGTTTTATTACTTGTTAAAACTCAAAGTGAAATAGGCTGGCACACCACCTATAGACTTGCATGGAGTTAACTGATTTAAAAAAAAGAGCTAAAAATTATTTAAACTATTGGACAGAAACTATGATTACAAGAATGTGATGGATTACTTCGAAGATATGGCCAAATAATATTTCATAAAAAGCATAGAATTTGAAAACAAGCATGGACACCTCCAAAACCTCATTAAGAGATTAAAGAAATAACCTACATCTTAGGAAAAAAGCAGCAGCAAGCAAGGAAAAACTATGCTTGCTTCCAAACCCATCTACCCTTCAGAGATATGTTTCACACCTGTGCTTAGGAAAACAACAGTAAACTCAACAGGCAACTATCTTGTCATGAGAAAGCACTTCAAAAGCACAGTGAGAAAAACCTAAATGGCCTATATTTACAACTAATAAAAAACTGGTATTACATTCCAAACTAGAATCCTCTAATTTCAAAAGTGGTCGTTTAAAAACCAGGGGAAAAAAAGTACTTTCTCCTAAGGAACAAAAAGTGCTTTAAAAAGTAGAATTAAAAATAAATAAATAGCCGGGCGGTGGTGGCGCACGCCTTTAATCCCAGCACTCGGGAGGCAGAGCCAGGCGGATCTCTGTGAGTTCGAGGCCAGCCTGGGCTACCAAGTGAGTTCCAGGAAAGGTGCAAAGCTACACAGAGAAACCCTGTCTCGAAAAACCAAAAAAAAAAAAATAAATAATAAATAAAAAATAAATAAATAAATAAATAAATAAATAAATAAAAAGGTGGCATAAGCATTAACTTAAGAAAGAGACCATTCACGGTGTCAATAGACTGAATAAACTAAGTTGAAACTAAACTGAAATTGAAAGTAAACTAAACTGAGTTGAACTACTGACTATAATTTAAAGACAAAAATCCCATTTAAAAAAAAAACAAAGCCATAAAACCCCATAATAGAGGTGCAAAATTTTAGTCAGACCAAAGAGACAGCAAATATCAAATATCCAAATCATATAAAGAAAAAACAGACATGACAGATTTGTCTCTTTCACTGTCCTTCCTATTTCTCACATTTTATAACACTGAAATTGTTTATGAGTGTGGAATTTAGTTATAGTTAGAAAATGAGATGTGATAGGAAATACAGAACTACAGTCTTCTTCAGCATTTTCCCTAAGTCTTGGCAGGCAGAGTCTAATTACACTTGTTTTACCTGACAAAGTTATCTGTGAGCTTTTAAATTTTTATGTAACTAAATATTCTAAAAGTGATGGTATGAATATGAAACTAAAGAATATCAATATGAGAGATACTATACTTCATATAAAACTACTATATAAATTTGATATATTTAGAGCTCTCAAGAGTTTTGAACATGGTAGAAAGATCTATTTCCCTAAGCCACCATTATTTATTTAGGAAATGTTACAATGATTCCTGTTTCTATTATTCTAAACACAGATCACAGAGGTACATTTTAAATTTGCTGTCTCTGAAGTTAAATTCTAAGGCTTTGATTCAGTTATAGTAGTTTCTCGACAGCATTCCTAATTTGAGACTAATGAAATATTTATTATATATTCTTCTTGCTGTTTTAACATCACAGTGTTAATGAAAGTGAATCCAGGCTGTAAACTTAAAGTGGCATTTTTTAAAAATCCTCAGTAGTGGCTTAATTTTCTTCCCAAACCAAAACTGAGATAACCATGTTTGTCTTCTTTGGCATGGTTAAAGTTTCTTGCTTCACATGGAGGGTTTAGCCAGATCTAACTATAAAGTCTTTTAGATTTCCTATTTTGGGTGCCCCCCCATTGTTAATAAACCCTTAAATTCAATAAAATGATGTTTACTAAAAAGGAAACATTCTTAGCTTAGTTGCTATGATAGTGCCACAACAATTTCAAGAAACACATCATTTTCTTCTAAGCATAACTGGCCATTCACATTAGCTTAATGTGAAATGTATTATAAGATACTATACTTTGAAGGAGAGATGGCTCAGCGGTTAAAAGCACTGGCTGTTCTTCCAGAGGTCCTGAGTTCAATTCCCAGCAACCACATGGTGGCTCACAACCATCCGTAATGAGATCTGGTGCCCTCTTCTGGCCTGTAAGCATGCATGTAGGCAGAACACTGTATACATAATAAATAAATAAAATCTAAAAAAAAAAAAAAATGCTTTCTTTAAAAAAAAAAAGATACTATACTTTGGTCACTATATAAAGTACTATAATAACTACAAACTTCAGTTATTAAGAAAAGAGACAGAGTGTTTGGGGGAAAGTGAACACCAAGGAGTAACAGCCAATGCTCTTAACCGCTAAGTCCTATCTCCAGCCCTGGAGTAGGGGGAGATTTTAAAGCCACTTATCAGGATGTATTCAAGCCAGGTATTGTGGATGACCCTCTTAATAAAGCCCTGTTACTACACTACTGACCAAGGAAGGAAAACCAAAAGTTCCTAATCAGTATGGACAATTTCCCCAACAAGATCATGCCTAAAAATAAAAATACAACTGCAGATGTAAGCTCAATAGTAGAGCATTTGTCTAGTATGCAGGTGGCCTTGTATTCAGCGTCTAGTACTGGGAAAATAGATATTCAGAAGAAGCACATTGATTTATTGAGGGCAATAAATCAAAGAGTAAAAACAAGTGCCCATCACACAACCTTACTCAATTGTTCTTAGCATCCCAGATAGTTTCTAATCTTAGATATAAATGAGTGTTTTATTTACCACTTCACGTACTTTCAAAATAAAATAAAAAAAAAAAAAACAGTAGTGAAAGCAGTATGAATACTATAGAAGCTGAACAAGGGACTGGAGAGATGGCTCAGCAGTTAAGAGTACTGACCACTCTTCTAGAACCTTGGTTCAATTCCCAGCACCTACATGGAGCCTCACAATCATCTCTTAACTCCAGGCACAGGGGATCTGATGACCCCACCTCAAAATAACAAAAACAAATTAAAAAATTAAAAAATAAAACAGTAATATAAAGCCAATACATTTTCTGTTAAATATCTAAATAAAAGGTAAACAGTATTTTTATAATTTGTTCACATGTAGAAAACATTTATTAAGACAACTCCCATGCTTGGTTTAGTTTACTAAATTATTATTCTAAAGTAAATCAAATAGTCTCTTCCACCTCTTATCTGTGTTTCACATCCCATATTCAGTAACCTATGGTCAATGTAGGTCTAAAAATATTACATGAAAACTTTAGGTTTGGCAACATTTTGTGCACAACTTCAAGTAACCCTCATTTTACTTAATAATGGCCCCAAACCTAAGTACAATGACAATGTAAAGGAGTTATCAGAGCACAAAATTTCCAAGGACAGATAAACTCTAGTATTACATGGCAACACAGTAGGGCATTTAAGAAAAAACAGTAACCATGTGTATATGGTTCAGTTTCAGGAATCCACAGGAAATCTTGGAACATACATACCTAATAAGAGGAGCTACCCTTCATGCTCTGAGGAAGTTAACTCAGCTGATTGCATTTTACAATTTTACAGAGAGAAGCAGCCTAGCACAGCTATTAAGGTAGACTAGCAGAATTCCTATCCTAGCTTGACTTTTAGGATCTTGGATTGCTATGACATTGACCTCTCTGGACCTCAATTTCTTATCAACAGCAAAAATATTATCTGACAGAACTTATTGTGAGGAATCAAATGCAAAAATTAAAGGACAGCTACTGGAGTTGTCTCACAGTATTCATGGTTCTAATACCACCTAATGAATAACAAAATCTCCAAACACTTATCTCATATAAAATGGCAAAGCATTTATATATAATCTATGCATAATCCTGGAAAATTTTAAATATCTAGATTTCTTATATTACTTAATAAATATTAAATGCTACATAGCTTTTATATTGCAAAAATGCCTGAGCACATTCAGTATAGACACAAATCTTTCTCTAAATATTTTTGAATGATCAATGGTTCAATCTATGCACAGCACCTGAAAACATGAAAGACCAACCAACAGTACTTTATTAGCATTGTGCTTATTAAACTTTTACAATGAAAGAACCTTCTATATAGCCCTTTCCCTCAGCCATTCCTTGCCTATTTCTCAGGTGTTTTCTGTTTTTGGTTTTTGTTTGTT